AATAACAAATTATGTCAATAAACAAAACCTGTCAATATATTCCACCAGTGTCAATAAAAAACTGTCTTCATTAATAACAAAATATGTCAATAAACAAAACCTGTCAATATATTCCACCAGTGTCAATAAAAAACTGTCTTCATTAATAACAAATTATGTCAATAAACAAAACCTGTCAATATATTCCACCAGTGTCAATAAAAAACTGTCTTTATTAATAACAAAATCCGTAAATAACGTTGATAAATTATGTTGGTGACTAGTCTGTCTTTTTACCCTGTTTTTACAGATCCATTTTGTCGAACTTCTAACTCATATATTTTATTGGTTTAGTCCTTTACATATTTACATATTCCGATGCACAACCATTTTGTTTAACTGCCAATTCGCATATCTCTTTAGTTTTATCTTTCACATATTTTAGAGCTAAACCATTTTGTTTAACCGCTAATTCGCATAGTTCTTCAGTTTGTTTTTTTACAAATTCCAACGCCAGACCATCTTGCTGAACTGCCAATTTGCATATTTCTTCTGTTTGTTCTTTTACAAATTGCAAAGCCCAACCATCTTGCCGAACTGCTAATTCGCATAATTCTTCTGTTTGCTCTTTTACAAAATGCAAAGCCCAACCATTTTGTTTAACCGCTAATTCGCATAGTTCTTCAGTTTGTTTTTTTACAAATTTCAACGCCAGGCCATCTTGCCGAACTGCCAATTCGCATAATTCTTCGGTTTGTTCTTTTACATATTGTAACGCTTGGCCATCTCGCCAAACTGCTAATTTGCATAATTCTTTTGTTTGTTCTTTTACATATTGCAAAGCCTGACCATCTTGTTGAACTGCTAATTCGCATAATTCTTTAGTTTGTTCTTTTACAAATTCTAACCCCCGACCATTTTGTTGAACTGCTAATTCGCATAATTCTTCTGTTTGCTCTTTTACAAATTCTAACGCCCGACCATTTTGTTGAACTGCTAATTCGCATAATTCTTTTGTCTGTTCATTTACAAATTGCAAAGCCCTGCCATCTTGCCGAACTGCCAATTCGCATAATTCTTTTGTCTGTTCTTTTACAAATCGCAAAGCCCGGCCATCTTGCCGAACGGCTAATTTGCATATTTCTTCTGTTTGTTCTTTTACATATTGCAAAGCCTGACCATTTCGTTGAACTGCCAATTTGCATAATTCTTCAGTCTGTTCTTTTACAAATTCTAACGCCCGACCATTTTGTTGAACTGCCAATTTGCATATTTCTTCTGTTTGTTCTTTTATAAATTGTAAAGCTAAACCATAATTTCTAATAATGTTAATCCAAAATTGTTCTGGCAAATTTTTAATTTCAATGATACTTTTAAGTGTAATTCGATCAGCCTTAAATTGGCGGTCTTCAATGTAGACTTGGGCGTCATCAGGTATTTCAATTATCGCAACAAAATTACCATATCCTTTTAGATGGTGATGACAGTTATATTCTGCACAAAAATAAAGACCTCCTGAAGAACAATCATCATTTGGGTTAAATGAAATAGTATCGACGTTAAGGCCGAGTTTGTAGGTAAAACCGTGGTGAGTTAAATCATTATTAAGAAATTTATAAAGAGGTGTTCCTTCAGATATACGATTAAATTCAGCTCCCGATAATTTTGTACCTTTTAAATTAGATTTACAAAGCATAATTTTAGTCTTTCGGATATCAGTGTGTTGTTAGATAATAAAAGTATGCGGTCAAATATTTTTATTTTCATTTTTTTTGAGGCGACTAGTAGTTATGACAAAATCCGTCAATATATTGTGTCAATAAAAAACTGTCTTCATTAATAACAAAATCCGTCAATAAAATATGTTGGTGACTAGTCTTCCAACTCCTGTTTTTACATATTTCAATGCACGTCTATTTTGCCGAACTGCCAATTCGCATATTTCATCTGTTTGTTTTTTTACAAATTTCAACGCCAGACCATCTTGCTGAACTGCCAATTCACATAATTCTTTAGTCTGTTCTTTTACAAATTCTAACACCCGACCATTTTGTCGAACCGCTGATTCGCATAATTCTTTAGTCTGTTCTTTTACAAATTTTAACGCCCTGCCATCTCGTCGAACTGCCAATTTGCATAATTCTTTAGTCTGTTCTTTTACAAATTCCAACGCCAGACCATTTTGTCGAACCGCTAATTCGCATAATTCTTTAGTCTGTTCTTTTACAAATTTTAACGCCCAACCGTTTTGCTGAACTGCCAATTTGCATAGTTTTTCGGTTTGTTCTTTTACAAATTTTAAAACCCAACCATATCGTTGAACTGCTATTTTGCATAGTTCTTCGGTTTGTTCTTTTACAAATTCTAACGCCCTGCCCTCTTGCTGAACTGCCAATTTGCATAGTTCTTCGGTTTGTTCTTTTACAAATTCTAACGCAAAACCGTCTTGCCGAACTGCCAATTCGCATAATTCTTTAGTCTGTTCTTTTACAAATTCTAACGCAAAACCATTTTGTTGAACCGCTAATTTACATATTTCTTCGGTCTGTTCTTTCGCATATTCTAACGCCCTGTCATTTTGTCGAACCGCTAATTCGCATAATTCTTCGGTTTGTTCTTTTACAAATTTTAACGCCATACCGTCTTGCTGAACTGCCAATTCGCATAATTCTTTAGTCTGTTCTTTTACAAATTCTAACGCAAAACCATTTTGTTGAACCGCTAATTTACATATTTCTTCGGTCTGTTCTTTCGCATATTCTAACGCCCTGTCATTTTGTCGAACCGCTAATTCGCATAATTCTTCGGTTTGTTCTTTTACAAATTTTAACGCCATACCGTCTTGCTGAACTGCCAATTTACATATTTCTTCTGTTTGCTCTTTTACAAATTCTAACGCCCTACCATTTTGTTGAACTGCTAATTCGCATAATTCCTTAGTCTGTTCTTTTACAAATTCTAACGCCCTACCATTTTGTTGAACTGCTAATTCGCATAATTCCTTAGTCTGTTCTTTTACAAATTCCAACGCCAGACCATCTTGCTGAACTGCTAATTCGCATAATTCCTTAGTCTGTTCTTTTACAAATTCTAACGCCCTACCGTCTTGCTGAACTGCCAATTCGCATAATTCTTCTGTTTGTTCTTTTACAAATTCTAACGCCTGGCCATTTTGCCGAACTGCCAATTCGCATAATTCTTTGGTCTGTTCATTTACAAATTGCAAAGCCCAACCATTTTGTTTAACCGCTAATTCGCATAGTTCTTCAGTTTGTTTTTTTACAAATTTCAACGCAAAACCGTCTTGATGAACTGCTATTTTGCATAGTTCTTCGGTTTGTTTTTTTACAAATTTCAACGCAAAACCGTCTTGATGAACTGCTATTTTGCATAGTTCTTCGGTTTGTTCTTTTACAAATTCTAACGCCCAACCATATCGTTGAACTGCTAATTCGCATAATTCTTCAGTTTGTTCCTTTACAAATTCTAACGCCCGGACATTTCGTTGAACTGCCATTTTGCATAATTTTTCAGTCTGTTCTTTTACATATTGTAACGCTAGGCCATATCGTTGAACTGCCAATTTGCATATTTCTTTAGTCTGTTCTTTTACAAATTCTAACGCAAAACCGTCTTGCCGAACTGCCAATTTGCATAGTTCTTCGGTTTGTTCTTTTACAAATTCTAAAGCCCGACCATTTTGTTGAACTGCTAATTCGCATAATTCTTTAGTTTGCTCTTTTACATATTGCAAAGCCCGACCATTTCGTTGAACTGCTAATTTGCATATTTCTTCAGTCTGTTCTTTTACATATTGTAACGCTAGGCCATCTTGCCGAACTGCTAATTCGCATAATTCTTCTGTTTGCTCTTTTACAAATTGCAAAGTCCGACCATTTCGTTGAACTGCCAATTTGCATAATTCTTTAGTCTGTTCTTTTACAAATTCTAACGCAAAACCGTCTTGCCGAACTGCCAATTCGCATAATTCTTTAGTCTGTTCTTTTACAAATTCTAACACCCGACCATTTTGTTGAACTGCTAATTCGCATAATTCTTTTGTTTGCTCTTTTACAAATTGCAACGCCCTGACATTTTGTTGAACGGCTAATTTGCATATTTCTTCTGTTTGTTCTTTTACAACTTGCAAAAACCAACCATCTTGCTGAACTGCCAATTTACATATTTCTTCTGTTTGCTCTTTTACAAATTTCAACGCCAGACCATCTTGCTGAACTGCCAATTTGCATATTTCTTCTGTTTGTTCTTTTATAAATTGTAAAGCTAGACCATAATTTCTAACAATGTCGATCCAAAATTGTTGTGGCAAATTTTCAATTTTAAAGATACTTTTAAGTGTAATTCGATCAGCCTTAAATTTGCAATCTTCGATGTAGACTTGGGCGTCATCAGGTATTTCAATTATCGCAACAAAATTACCATATTCATTTAAATGGTGATGACAGTCATATTCTGCACAAAAATAAAGACCTCCTGCAGAACACTCACCTTTTGGGTTAAATGTGACAGTATCGACATTAAGGCCGAGTTTGTAGGTAAAACCATTGTGAGTTAAATCATTATTAAGAAATTTATAAAGAGGTGTTCCTTCAAATACACGATTAAATTCAGCTCCTGATAATTTTGTACCCTTTAATTCGGATTTACAAAGCATAATTTTAGTTTTTCGGATATCAGTGTGTTGTTAGATAATAAATGTATGTGGTCAAGTAATTTTAATTTCATTATTTTGAGACGGCTAGTAGTTATGACAAAATCCGTCAATATATTGTGTCAATAAAAAACTGTCTTCATTAATAACAAAATATGTCAATAAACAAAACCTGTCAATATATTCCACCAGTGTCAATAAAAAACTGTCTTCAATAATAACAAAATCCGTCAATAACGTCGATAAATTATGTTGGTGACTAGTCTGTCTTTTTACCCTGTTTTTACACATCTCAATACACATCCATTTTGTCGAACTTCTAACTCATATATTTTATTGGTTCAGTCCTTTACATATTTACATATTCCGATGCACAACCATTTTGTTTAACTGCCAAATCGCATATCTCTTTAGTTTTATCTTTCACATATTTTAGAGCTAAACCATTTTGTTTAACCGCTAATTCGCATAGTTCTTCAGTTTGTTTTTTTACAAATTCCAACGCCAGACCATCTTGCTGAACTGCCAATTTGCATATTTCTTCTGTTTGTTCTTTTACAATTTCTAACGCCTGGCCATCTTGCCGAACTGCCAATTCGCATAATTCTTCTGTTTGCTCTTTTACAAAGAACAACGCCTGACCATTTTGCTGAACTGCCAATTTGCATAGTTCTTCGGTTTGTTCTTTTACATAATGTAACGCTTCACCATTTTGTTGAACTGCCAATTTACATATTTCTTCTGTTTGCTCTTTTACAAATTCCAACGCCAGACCGTCTTGCCGAACTGCTAATTTGCATAATTCTTTTGTCTGTTCTTTTACAAATTGCAAAGCCCTGCCATTTTGTCGAACCGCTAATTCGCATAATTCTTTAGTCTGTTCTTTTACAAATTCTAACGCCCGACCATTTTGTTGAACTGCTAATTCGCATAATTCTTCTGTTTGCTCTTTTACAAATTTTAACGCCCAACCATTTTGTTGAACTGCTAATTCGCATATTTCTTTGGTCTGTTTTTTTACAAATTCTAACGCCCGGACATTTCGTTGAACTGCCATTTTGCATAATTTTTCAGTCTGTTCATTTACAAATTGCAACGCCCTGACATTTTGTTGAACGGCTAATTTGCATATTTCTTCTGTTTGTTCTTTTACAACTTGCAAAACCAAACCATTTTGTTGAACTGCCAATTCGCATATTTCTTTAGTCTGTTCTTTTACAAATTCTAACGCCCGACCATTTTGTTGAACAGCTATTTTACATATTTCTTCTGTTTGTTCTTTTATAAATTGTAAAGCTAGACCATAATTTCTAACAATGTCGATCCAAAATTGTTGTGGCAAATTTTCGATTTCAATGATACTTTTAAGTACAATTCGATCAGCCTTAAATTGGCGGTCTTCAATGTAAACTTGGGCGTCATCAGGTATTTCGACTATTGCAACAAAATTACCATATTCATTTAGATAGTGATGACAGTCATATTCTGCACAAAAATAAAGACCTCCTGCAGAACACTCACCTTTTGGGTTAAATGTAATAGTATCGACATTAAGGCCGAGTTTGTAGGTAAAACCATTGTGAGTTAAATCATTATTAAGAAATTTATAAAGAGGTGTTCCTTCAGATATACGATTAAATTCAGCTCCCGATAATTTTGTACCTTTTAAATTAGATTTACAAAGCATAATTTTAGTCTTTTGGATATCAGTGTGTTGTTAGATAATAAAAGTATGCGGTCAAATATTTTTATTTTCATTTTTTTGAGGCGACTAGTAGTTATGACAAAATCCGTCAAAATGCTGTGTCAATAAAAAAACTGTCTTCATTAATAACAAAATATGTCAATAAACAAAACCTGCCAATAAAAAACTGTCTTCAATAATAACAAAATCCGTCAATAACGTCGATAAATTATGTTGGTGACTAGTCTGTCTTTTTACCCTGTTTTTACACATCTCAATACACAACCATTTTGTCGAACTTCTAACTCATATATTTTATTGGTTCGGTCCTTTACATATTCCGATGCACAACCATTTTGTTTAACTGCCAATTCGCATATCTCTTTAGTTTTATCTTTCACATATTTTAGAGCTAAACCATTTTGTTTAACCGCTAATTCGCATAGTTCTTCAGTTTGTTTTTTTACAAATTTCAACGCCCGACCATTTCGTTGAACTGCTAATTTGCATAATTCTTCAGTCTGTTCTTTTACATATTGTAACGCTAGGCCATCTTGCCGAACCGCTAATTCGCATAATTCTTTAGTCTGTTCTTTTACATATTTCAATGCTAAACCATTTTGTTGAACTGCTAATTCGCATAATTCTTTGGTCTGTTCTTTTACATATCGCAAAGCCCAGCCATCTTGCCGAACTGCCAATTCGCATAATTCTTCAGTTTGTTCTTTTACATATCGTAATGCATAACCATCTTGCTTAACTGCTAATTCGCATAATTCTTTAGTTTGTTCTTTTACAAATTGCAAAGCCCAACTATTTTGTTGAACAGCTATTTTACATATTTCTTCAGTCTGTTCTTTTACATATCGTAATGCATAACCATATTGCTTAACTGCTAATTCGCATATTTCTTCTGTTTGCTCTTTTACAAATTCCAAAGCCAGACCATCTTGTTGAACTGCCAATTTGCATATTTCTTCTGTTTGTTCTTTTACAACTTCTAATGCCCGACCATCTTGTTGAACTGCCAATTTGCATATTTCTTCTGTTTGTTCTTTTATAAATTGTAAAGCTAGACCATAATTTCTAATAATGTCAATCCAAAATTGTTCTGGCAAATTTTTAATTTCAATGATACTTTTAAGTACAATTCGATCAGCCTTACATTTGCGGTCTTCAATGTAAACTTAGGCGTCATCGGGTATTTCGACTATTGCAACAAAATCGCCATATCCATTTAGATGGTGATGACAGTCATATTCTGCACAAAAATAAAGACCTCCTGCGGAACACTCATCTTTTGGGTTAAATGTAATAGTATCGACATTAAGGCCGAGTTTGTAGGTAAAACCATTGTGAGTTAAATCATTATTAAGAAATTTATAAAGAGGTGTTCCTTCAAATACACGATTAAATTCAGCTCCCGATAATTTTGTACCTTTTAAATTAGATTTACAAAGCATAATTTTAGTCTTTCGGATATTAGTATGTTGTTAGATAATAAATGTATGTGGTCAAGTAATTTTAATTTCATTATTTTGAGACGACTAGTAGTTATGACAAAAACCGTCAAAATGCTATGTCAATAAAAAAACTGTCTTCATTAATAACAAAATATGTCAATAAACAAAACCTGTCATTATATTCCACCAGTGTCAATAAAAAACTGTCTTCATTAATAACAAAATCCGTCAATAACGTTGATAAATTATGTTGGCGACTAGTCTGTCTTTTTACCCTGTTTTTACACATCTCAATACACATCCACATTTTGTCGAACTTCTAACTCATATATTTTATTGGTTCAGTCCTTTACATATTTACATATTCTGATGCACAACCATTTTGTTTAACCGCTAATTCGCATAGTTCTTCAGTTTGTTTTTTTACAAATTTCAACGCCAGACCATCTTGCCGAACTGCCAATTCGCATAATTCTTCGGTTTGTTCTTTTACATATTGTAACGCTTGGCCATCTCGCCAAACTGCTAATTTGCATAATTCTTTTGTCTGTTCTTTTACAATTTGCAAAGCCCTGCCATTTTGTCGAACCGCTAATTCGCATAATTCTTTAGTCTAGTCTGTTCTTTTACAAATTATAACACCCAAACATTTTGTTGAACTGCTAATTCGCATAATTCTTTTGTTTGCTCTTTTACAAATTGCAAAGCCCAACCATTTTGTTGAACAGCTATTTTACATATTTCTTCAGTCTGTTCTTTTACAAATTGCAAAGCCCTGCCATCTTGCCGAACTGCCAATTTGCATATTTCTTCGGTTTGTTCTTTTACAAATTCTAACGCAAAACCATATTGTTTAACTGCCAATTCGCATATTTCTTCGGTTTGTTCTTTTACAAATTGCAAAGCCCAACCATTTTGCCGAACTACCATTTTGCATAATTTTTCAGTCTGTTCTTTTACAAATTCCAACGCCTGGACATTTTGTCGAACTGCCAATTCGCATAATTCTTTGGTCTGTTCTTTTACAAATTCCAACGCCTGGCCATCTTGCTGAACTGCCATTTTGCATATTTCTTCTGTTTGTTCTTTTACAAATTGCAAAGCCCAACCATTTTGTCGAACAGCTATTTTACATATTTCTTCAGTCTGTTCTTTTACAAATTGCAAAACCCGACCATTTTGTTGAACTGCTAATTTGCATATTTCTTCAGTCTGTTCTTTTACAAATTGCAAAACCCGACCATTTTGTTGAACTGCTAATTTGCATAATTCTTCAGTCTGTTCTTTTACAAATTCTAACGCAAAACCATTTTGTTGAACAGCTATTTTACATATTTCTTCTGTTTGTTCTTTTATAAATTGTAAAGCTAGACCATAATTTCTAACAATGTTGATCCAAAATTGTTGTGGCAAATTTTCAATTTTAATGATACTTTTAAGTGTAATTCGATCAGCCTTAAATTTGCAATCTTCGATGTAGACTTGGGCGTCATCAGGTATTTCAATTATCGCAACAAAATTACCATATTTATTTAAATGGTGATGACAGTCATATTCTGCACAAAAATAAAAACCTCCTGTAGAACACTCACCTTTTGGGTTAAATGTAATAGTATCGACATTAAGGCCAAGTTTGTAGGTAAAACCGTGGTGAGTGAAATCATTGTTAAGAAATTTGTACAATTTTACCTTAACGATGTTGTTAAATTCACTTCCCGATAATTTTGTGCCCGTTAAATTAAAAAGCATGACTATAGTCTTTCGGATATAAGTTTTTAAATAGAAGATGTGCTGTCAAAATTTTTTATTTTCATTTTTTTGGGACGTGAATGATTAAAACAGTGTAAATTATGCCATCAATGGAAAAATCCGTTAACATCAATAAGAAATTATGTCAATAATAAAATCTGTTAATATATTCTGTCAACATCAATAACAAATTATGTCAATAATAAAATCTGTTAATATATTCTGTCAACATCAATAACAAATTATGTCAATAATAAAATCTGTTAATATATTCTGTCAACATCAATAACAAATTATGTCAATAATAAAATCTGTTAATATATTCTGTCAACATCAATAACAAATTATGTCAATAATAAAATCTGTTAATATATTCTGTCAACATCAATAACAAAATATGTCAATAATAAAATCTGTTAATATATTCTGTCAACATCAATAACAAAATATGTCAATAATAAAATCTGTTAATATATTCTGTCAACATCAATAACAAATTATGTCAATAATAAAATCTGTTAATATATTCTGTCAACATCAATAACAAATTATGTCAATAATAAAATCTGTTAATATATTCTGTCAACATCAATAACAAAATATGTCAATAATAAAATCTGTTAATATATTCTGTCAACATCAATAACAAAATATGTCAATAATAAAATCTGTTAATATATTCTGTCAACATCAATAACAAATTATGTCAATAATAAAATCTGTTAATATATTCTGTCAACATCAATAACAAATTATGTCAATAATAAAATCTGTTAATATATTCTGTCAACATCAATAACAAAATATGTCAACATCGATAACAAAAACAAATTACACTAATAATAAAATATGTCAATATATTATATTCTGCCAACACCAATAATAAAATGTGTCAACAATAAAATCCGTCAACATCAATAACAAATTACGCCAATAAACAAAATCCCAAATATGTTATGTTATAACAATGCCAAATTATGCTGATAATAAAATATGTCAAAATATTCTATTGTCAACAACAAATTATGCTAATATCAACAACAAATATTGTAAGATAAGACATAAGACAAGACAACACCAAACACTTATTAAACAATATTAACGGACGCGGCTATATCGAATTTTTTAATTTAACATGACAATAAATTGACAGTGATATTATATTATATTATATTATATCATATTATATTGGCTGGTTAGTATTAGTTGATATTAAATGATTTTACAACTTTGTGAAATTTTTGAATACCTGGTTGAATTCTTCCAATAGCTCGAATGACGTTATCTTCTTTTTTTCCTGTTATCCCATATACATTTTCGATGTTTTTAATAATGGCCTTTAAATTATCTCTTGATTGATACTGCTTAAAAAAGTCCATAAGTGAAAAATTCATAACTGTGTCTGCAAACTGCTTAGAAGGCATTAACCCTAATTTTTTAATTAAATAAACATAATCCTTATGCCAATTCAACAAAGTTTTTTGAAATCTTATCTGGTATATATTGCCATCATACAAAAAAGGGTCGATTACCGTGTTTTTTATATTTAATTGTGCATTATTGTCCTCAAATGTATCAAGTCTGTTATCAGACAGAGTTTTCAAAATATGTTTAACCATCATATCATGTTCATCGTCTTTTTTAATATTTACATAAATATCACCACCTCTTGCAAAAAATTCCAAATATAATTGCAAAATTTCTAATTTTTTTGTAAATTTGTCTATCCACCTCCCAACATATCCACAATCAGCATAAACAATTAAAAACTCTTTGTCTCCTACATTTTCA